GAACGAAGAGCGGACAAAAACATAATCAAGTCACACTTAAACATTTGACACAAATCTATGTTTAAAGTTCTTACCAAAAACTTACAAAATTATCTTAAACTTTAGATATAAAACAATACTTCCCAATAACAATAAGAACAGCAGAATTTTCAAGCTAAATATAAATTCATACATCATCGTCATGTTACCGTAAGGCAACGAAATTATAAAACTCGCCTCTGAAAGTTTACTTATAAAAATCAAAAAGCCTAAAACATAAGGGATAAATTCTTTCAAGGAAATAGCACATTCATATATAACTTAGTATTTTACGATAAGAAATTTTCTCTTCACGGAAGTTAGGGCACGAAGAGGATTTAAGAATTAATGTATTTCTGGCATTTAAGTATTTTAAGTTCACTAAAAACCTTTTTCACAAATTAGCACGACTTTAACATAAACTAAACGTTTAACTGCGTACAGACATAATATAAAATAGAATCAAAATATAACAACAAGACAAAACGCTAGTTTCGATTTTAAGTACTAACGTAACGACGAACATTGGCAATACTTAAAGACTGATGACACTTAAGAAATACATTTAAGCTCACTTACGTGTCATGAAAAACAAGAAATTGTCCCCATTATTCACCATCCATACGACACTAAAACAGTACTTTAGTTCAGTACTCGTCCGATAAGTTACAAAATTGCTACTATATTTAGTAGCAATTTTGCTAATAAACTAACAAGTAGCTAATAAACAAAATACGGGGGAAAGAATGATATTAATGTTATATTGATCCGCGAGGAATTGTGGGGTAGATGCGTTTGTTTGGTCACCATTGGGTAATTTATTAGTATGGTAATTTCCAAAAATGTAAATGAAATAATGTAATAATTTCTACCCCGTATTTAAGATTGAAAGAAATCGAACTTTTAAACCGAAAAGGCACAAAGATTAATTTAATTTTAAAAAGTACGCAGTATCGTTTGATAAGTGTTGTTAATCGCTTTTTGGTGACTTTAGAAAAATACGCTATTTATGGAAGTTTGAATATCGTGTGGTGTTAGTATCGTTGTAGGAAAGTTCCTGTATGTTGTTGTCTGACGATTTAATTGGGTGTTTTCTGTTTTACGTTTTGATAATTTTGTCTAAAAAATGTCGAGGAAATGAGTTGCGTTTCAATTTAGCTGGTAGATATAGGTACTCAATGGTAGTAAATCATTCGGCTGGTGTAAGTAAGATTTTTGAAATGTAGACTTTAGCGAGTTTACTTTAGTGTTGTGAAAACATTACCAGACGAAATCGAAAATACGAGCCGGTCGATATTAGGGAGCTTTAGCAAGAGTACGACTACAACAACGAGTACGAAGTTTGACCGTGTAAGAGAATGGCACGAGGAAGTTTGTTGTCGTTGTCGCTTCTTCAAAATTTAGTTTTAACAATAAACAACAGAACGAGCCTTTTTATTGTGTAAAACACCGACGTTTGAAAAGCAGCTACGGCTCCATTTGTCAATAATGATATAAACTAAGCGGTAATACTGATTTTGCGAGAACATAGGACTCTTTAGACTGATATTGTATACGTTGAACTTTATTTCTTGACATCATGCTCAACGTCATCCAATAATTGTTTAAAATTTGTTTACATCAATATTTTTACAATTCAGCTTTTGCAATGGTAAATAATGACTATAAACAAAATCAATATGTCCTACGAGTTACGTTATAAAGTGTGATACGATTGTTTTCATGGAGAATACAACTCCGTACAATTTCAAACTGTTTATTACTGTACTAACTTCCCTTTCTTGTTTTCTTGCGTCCCTTACAGCCAATTTGCTACGAATCAGCCTTTATAAAGACTGCACCCACCAAAAATGGGGAACCACTCATTGCCTCAGCCATTTTGTGTTTCTTTACACAAACCTGCAGAATATCTTCCCTTGGGTCATCTGCTGAACGACCATCACTTGTAATTGGACTTTTGATATAATCGCACCTCTCTAATTCCGAAAATAGTTTCCTGCTCACAGAAACTTTCCTTCCAGCCTTAAAGAATTGAGTAACTGTAACAAAGTCTCGTCTATTGCGATTATCACATAAATACAATTCTTGGAAACCTTTCAAATTATTTGGGCGTAAACAAAAAATGAGAAGAGCTGGTTTTGGTTTTTTAGAATATTGCGTTAACGAGTATTCATAATCATTTGCCATGTAGAAGCCATCTCTATGCGACAAGTCGCCTTTTTCACGACCTTTACTTAATTCAATACCATTCTTAAGAATCTTCTGAGCAGACGAATGATCAGTGCCATGGAAATATAACTCAGTATTTTCGTCTTCGTTTTCTTCGATTCTTCAACCTCGATGATACCTCTAATTGCTTCATCTTTGTTACTTGCATTAAAAATCTTTACTTCTTGATTAGTTTGGTCCCCTGCATCATTAAAACGTGAAAAATTCTGCGTAAACCAACCGTTTAGGTAGTTTTCATTGTAAGGAAAAGAGGAAGGGCGTTATTCGTAAATATAGTACAGTTGAAAAATTTCTTAACGTAGGTTCTAAGTAAAACTGTTATTGATTGGTCATCAAGATGAGACAGATTAACCGATAGTGTATTTTCTCCTTCACTTTTTAAGATCTCTTTTTCAACCAACTCATTCGACATGTAAAGCAAGCTCACAATATCGTACATATCAGTTCTAACGAAAGGACTTCGCTCAGGTCTATTTTGTAGCATAGAAATGATCGTTTGGTTGTATTGTGGTACAGCATTATTCTTTTGTGGATAAATGGTGTAGACATCTCTCAATATTGATTTTGATAAACACGGAGACATTCTAAAGAACATCATAGATACTCTTACAAAAACAACATCAATTAAAAGCATTTCAGAAAATGAATTACATAATTAGAAACATTTCAAATATTTAAAGCGAAAACTTTGATACGTTCACAATGGCTACAGTTGTAAACGTTTATTTATTTGCATTAAAATTCCTTCAAAGCTTATGAAGAAATCGCTTTGACGGTTTCACGACATTGAATCTAGCGGACAAATTTATAGTTTTAGTGGTTTGCATATTATTATACAAACATGACACTTTCAATGCGAAGCTAGTATGCAGTTGATTTCATGTTTTATTTTTAGCAACGTTGGCAATCATCGAACAGATTTGCAAATTTGATCGGGAACTTTTGAGAAACATAAGCACTTTTGAACAAACTTGAAAGTATTACGCGAAAAGGTTGAGATAAATCGAATGTAACATGCTCCAATGCACCACAGTTATGAGGAAGAGATGAACACTTGTGCTATGTGGCTACATCTTTGATAATCAAATACCAAAGAATGAGTTATTACCGTCAACAAATTTATAGTGTATGATAATCAAGCTAGAAGGTAATTTCTGATCCATATTTAATCACGACTTTGAAATTTTTAAAACGATAAATTTACACTAAATTGTTTGCACTCAAGAGAACTTTAAATTCCTTTGTCATTAAAGTGCGCAATAGATTTGTTACAATGAAGGCAAAGACCAATACATACTTCAAAACTTATCACACGATTCTCACTTAAGCGTGACTTAAATATTATAAAACATGTTTTGATGTTTAAAGTGTTCAGGAAATTGACGCCTCCTGGTTATAACTGGTTTAAATATTTTCATGTTTCTCATAAGTACATGTTTGTTCGTTTATGTTTCGACACGGCGCATGAAACCGTTCAAAAAAATAGATATTTGAAGCTATTGACGACAGCCTAGCACAATTTCCTTTGTATGATGAAAATTGTTACACTTATACCCAAATGCATTGAACATAGTTGCATTTACATATAAATATTTCTTTGGTTTCGCTTTTATTATTGGAACGACAATGTATACTGACGTCGTATTCATCAAAATCTACAAAACTCCATTCTAACGTTAACTAAGAATGTTTACTTACTTTTACAGAAGGATAACAGCTGGTATTTGGCAATTTTTATATATCTACGAACTGACGAGCTTCGATGTACAACGTACTTTTCACCAAGAAATGACCAGAACGCATCTCTCTGTCGGTACCAGACCTCTGACGTAGTTTTTCCCGCTAATTCCGATAATTACCATAGATCCACGAGGCAAAGATTTGCCGTGCTTCCTAGAGTATCCCATCAAGTCAAATAGAAATGTTAGTTAGCATAATAAAATATAATAATGACCTCTTTCCTGAATAAGTTTAAATCATTTTAAGATTTTTACATTTCTGATCTCTATGAAGGCTTATTTTTGTTAAAACTGATAATTTTATGTCAACAGACACAATAGAAAAACAGTTGTCCAATTATATGTAATGCATATTAAAGAGCATTTCATATAACCAATCAAAAACCATAAAACATTTTGTATGAAACATGTTTAGCTCCTAAGTTAAACATAAAGTACTACTTGAATAAGAACATGACAAACTCTGCTTGTTTTATTCTTTTCTCTGATGCTGCAAAAAACAGCAGCTCATTAAACATACGTCAGTTGTATGATTTCACATCTTTGATACATCATACAGGTGTGCAAAATGTCCAATGGACTCGAGTGATGTCCTTCTGATAATAGTTACACAGTCAGAGAAAGCAAACATGAGACAGTCATTGTGTAAATGGTGTGAACACATGCTTTGTTATTTTATTTTGTTTTGGAGACACATAACTTTTCTTCAATATGCAAAAACATCATTATGATATCACAATGCATAATTAGCTTTAGGAAAAACAAATTTTTGCTTACAGTTAACATAAATTATTGCCAATGTCACAGGGTCCTAATATTATTGATTTCAATGCATTGGGATGGTGTCATTGTAATTTTCAAATAAACGACTAATGATTGAATATGTCCGTCTTAATACAGCATGGGGTACTTAGGGAAATGGTAACAGGATGATATGAGGATAGTAGAGGCACCAGGGGATGTCATTTTAGTGATACAATATACTTTTCATAGAAATATAAACCAAACACTTACAGCTTGTTGTAAAACAAATGTTCCTTTCTTGTTCATAATGACTTCTTCAATGGCTTTGATAGATGTTTCCAAAGCTTTCAAACCTTTTCTCGATTCATTGTTGTTGTCATGACAACATAGGTTGGTGGTGAAATGGATTTATCTTAAAGAAGAAAACAGTTTACAATCATACAGTGAAATTTTCAAAAGATTATTTATCATTGTATGGTATTTAGGCCTGGCAGAGCTATTGTAAGATATAATTACATTGCTGTGCACATTTGGAACATCTATAAATAATTAAATCTTGTTTTCGTGAACATCAAAATGTCCATCCTCATTGTGTTTATGTAGCAATATTGCAATTTGATGCATTTCAATGTGAATGATCTGTCATATACAGTGGTGTGAAACAAAGCTTCATACTTTTCTTGGTTCTTAAGGTTCATTTTCCTTGACAACTCATTTATTGACAGTTGTCTTGTTGTACACAATGTTCAGTAGTATATATAATAATCATTTTATAATTGAAATCTTGACATAAACATATTTAAAAGTTAAAATGACATGATGAATATGAGGTATAGCTCTATTGGTTAAGAACAGTTCATGTACGACGCCAGATGATGTTAATGTTGATTCATAATGGTTTCAAAAAAAGCTTGGCTGACTGATAATTATGCTAATAAACACATAACCCTGGCTGTCACATGTTACAATCGTAAACAAAATCTCAGCAAACTTTTGCCATAAACATAAAGTAGTTTTAAAATTCAAAAGGAGTAAAGATCTTTTTATAAAGTCTAAACATGCTCAATGATTACAGTACAATAGAACTTACCTAAATGAAGTCATAATATTAAACGTCGCTCGATTTTGAAATAGAAATACAAACAATTCGTTATGTTGATGATGGCACAAAATATGTACAAAGATATAACGTAGATTGTTTAATCAGTTGCATTTTTCATTGAAAACTTTTCAAGAACCTCAAACGATAATACTTTAAATACAGACGAACAAGTTTACAGTTTGAGTTTACATGACTGACTTTACCGATTCTCGGAAACATCCGGTGGAAACTATCGGTATTCGCCGATTATTATTCGATGTCTGTCGTGAAAATGGTTTGTGAAGTATTCAATGACGTAATGGGTTTTCCGACCCCAGGTTATCCCAATGAACTCCACAATAACATGAAACATTTCTGTTGTTGAAGAACAGTCTGTTAAATATAAATGCTACTGTTTGTAGTCTTTTATACAGCATATGAGTCTGATGCAATCTTTAATTTAGCAAAGAGTTAAATTTATGGGTTGAGGAATGACACAACTTCTGTATGTGTTTATTGATCAAACAGGGGTGTGTTTGGAGGGGGCTCAGCCCCGTTTGTTCAAATTCTATGCCTTGTATTGCCAGTGAAATATATATATCAAAAAGCTAGCAGCACCTAATTATATATCAGAAAGCCCACCAATATTTTAATATATATGAGAAACACAGCAACAGTTGTAATATACATTAAAAAGTCCAAATAGCTGAAATTATGGAGATATGCCTCTGTGATCTTATAAACCAAAACCTACAATTAAAATATCATCGACAAGTCTAGAAAGAAGTAATGTTCTACTTTGAGCTACAGAAGTAGGGTACATTCGTAGAATTCATTACCAAAAATATATTGTACTCAGCTGTTTCAGTGAATATCCTAATTATAATTACTTTTTTAAATGATGAACTAAAATACAAAATACAACATGGAAAATCGTAAGAGTTTCTGTGATTTGGTGAAGTTGTTTTAGTATGGAAGTGGCTGAGAATTGAGAGGCTTGTAGATTGACCTATTTCAGAACATAATGAGAAATCATCTTCGATTTAAAAACAAGCTTTGTAGTAAGAAAACTATTGAAACTGCATCAGCACGAACTTTGCAATGTTATTTGGCCCAAAAAGGGTTCTCTACTTGAGTCAGTTAATTGAACCTTATATCGAAAGCAGTTGAGCACAACAATCACCATACGCAATCAGATTTCGTAAGTTCGACGTAAAGGCATTTCTTTCATTTTTTTCGTAATCCTCGATTCTTGTGATATTTAATGACATTTAGTAGCCGTCAACAATCAGTTATTACAAACTTATCCATAAAAAAACGCAATATTATCTCAAAATACTGTATTACTAGCAGCAATTGCTATATAAACACAAGCTCAAATTTCAAAACTAGGAACCAAAATAGCGGAAATTGATCAGGTGATCAATATTGCCCAATCAAACGGATAACAATAGATGTCCCAACTCTTAAAAATAGAGGGCTCTGAGGTAATCAAATAGATAAGTGGGCGTTTTAAAATAGAAAATACGACATCGAAAAGTACATTTGTTCTAATTAGTTAATATTTCAATTATCATTATGTTCACGGCGAACTTGTACAAATTATAGATATTTATAGTTCATCAGGAATTGAAGAAAAATTTAAATCATACAATTCAATAAGAAGTTCCCAATATAAAAGTACGAGTAAAAATATTAAATATTCAGTCTGACTTTCTGCTCCAGGTTCCATCTTTTGATCCTCTGCAACGCTCTCTGGAATGTTTTTGTGAACGGGAATTTTTTTTTTCGTCTTGATGTACTTTCTTCAAGCTCTAGAGATTTTCTTCTATATCTTTATTCTCGTCCGTATTTGATTAGAGTTAGCTCTGGATTTTTTCACCGTTTTCGCTCCTTTCCTTACTTTGTATAAAATCGAATGTAAATACAGTTGACCAACTTTAACAACTTAAATCATTCATTCTGCCACAGCTACATGACACACCAGTGCAATGCAACAACCACGATGACTGCCATTCCACAATGTTGAACAACAACGGAACAAGATATGTTTGTTTACTTTATAACGGAACAAGACGCAGCATGGTGTATTTAGGAAACTTTTTTCTTTTTTTCTTTTTTTTTCACCCATGCAAAATACCCATAATGCAACAGTCACTTCATCTGATATGCTTCCTCTGCAAGAGGAAGTCCCTTAACATACCCAGCATGTGAATGTAGGGAAGTGCATCATAAGATCTTCGGACAAAGCGTATTAAGGGAAGAAACAATATAATTGTTTTAGAGGAAAATTACAGAAAACACTGTCGCAAAAAAATTCTTCAGTGTAGCCTGCCCTGGGTAAGCAAAACTCCTACTTGACTAAATTGACTATGCAATTTTCTGCTGTCGCGTGTAATGTCCGTTTCGTGTCGTGTTTGTGAAGAAATTATAAATATTGAACTTCGCTTTAGAAATTAGAATGCACAAGTCATGAGCCACCAGCTCAATAAAACGTGTTTCCCAGGGAATATAATAACGAGATAATCATTGTCTCCAAAGAATACGTTCTTACAAGTTAGTGTGCTATAAATATGGTTGATATTCACAGACATGGAAAGTGAACTTCGTCGCTAAAATTTAACATAGTAAAATTTTCTATAGGCAATAATATCTCATAAGACATTTTACGTACTTTGAAGATCAGCTACATAGCATTCATCAACCTTTTCTTTACTTAACACTTCACAGTTAAATTTCGCAGTGAGCAGTGGACAAGAGCCTAAAATGCGAAATATTATGGCACGGAAGATTAAAATCATGATTTACAATCAAACGGCCAATTTTACGTCTTGCGGTCAATGTTATAAAATTGGCCGTCATAATTAACTTGTTTAGAGATCAACTATTTAGGAATGAAACAATCTAATGACAGCAATAATCACTTAACAATGATCTCGTTATTAAAAGGTTAAAAGCTATGAAATAAAACGATTTGAAATGGATAAGTTATTCTGAAACATAGCCTTTAGAACAATGACTTTGAAATTCAAAAATTCCAATAAACCTTCCACTCACTGTCTCAAAGAGATGTGAAATTGAGTGTGTGATGAGTAGAGTGTGGAAGGTTTATTGTAATTTTTATATTTCAAGGTCATTGTTGTAAAGGCTTTGTTTCAGATTAACTTATCCATTTAAGATTATGATTTTAAAGGCACCCTTACAGGCTTAAGTTAAACTAAAATATCGTTTAGTTCTCAATTATTATTTATCAAGTATCATTTAGTGTCATTTAATGGTCAAAATAAAGAACAAAGTATAAAGAACAAGGCATATTATATAAGTAGATAGTGAGTGGACGGGTATTCTATAACATAGCATTACGATCTTGTGGTGTTGATCACTTTGGTAGTTGTGGTTCGTATGGCATAGTAAAAAAAGTGTCAAATATGAATATAATAATGTATAAAAGTCATAGCCACCTCTTGTACTTAAGGCAAGTTTGTCACAAATAGAAGATTAACAATCTAGTGAATATTGCGATAACGCGACTTCCGTATGCGCTCGAAAATCTCGTACACTTGCACAGTTTGCGAACGTAACATTTACGTTATAGTAAATAAAGTTGCCTTCAAAAAAAATAAAAAGCATTGTCGTTAACTTATACGTATAAGAAAATTTTTGAAATATAACTTATACGTATAAGAAAATTTTTGCAGTGAAAGCGAAAGCTGGGCGCAAACTCAGTAAATTTATCAATATTTTGCACAAACCTTATACGTCAAGCACAGAATGTATTGGTTCAACTTTTTCTTCGTTCGGTTCTGGTTCTTTCACGTTAACATTCCAGGTTAAATGCAAATAAACAAATCACTCCCCAAACATTGTAGTCATAAGACAATACAGCAATGTTCTTCTTCACAATTTTCCGCTCTGTTTTGACTCCAATTCAGCGACTGCCAAAAGCAAGCTGGATACAATCAAAGGAAGAACCAAAAGTCTTAATGCTCTCACCCAAATCTCACCAAGAAACGGCACGTACATTGCATATTCCTTCGGTGTTGGATCTATGGACGACTGAACATTGCCATGTAATAAAGAACCAAGTAAAATCCACAAAGTACGCCGAATAAAATGAAAAATAATATCATATGTTGTTTTGCATGTTTTAATCCATTGTAGCAACGCTTTCTTGAAGTCATTGTCGAAATTTTGTAGCTCTGAATACAATTCAAAGCAACAAATAAACACTGAATCTCAACATTTCACAATAACAAACCTATAAATATAC